GGAACTGAGAGATTTCTGGCGGGAACGTAATACGGAAGAGAGAGACTTCACTTTTTTTTCTGATAGACATCAATCGTTTTCAAGAATTGACTTTTTTCTGATTACAACGGATTTATATTTTAGGGTAAAAAATGTAAAGATTTTTCCAAGGACATTGACAGATCATAGTCCTGTATGGATGGAATTGGCTGCTGAGAAAGAGGAGAGAAGATCTTGGAGGTTGAATGAAAATTTATTTAGACAAGAGGCGAATGTTCAGAAACTTAAAGAGTATTTAAAGGAATATTTTACTTTAAATATGTATAAGGGAACCTCAATGGCAATGGTTTGGGATGCTAGTAAGGCTTATATGCGTGGGGTTCTGATTCAAATGAACGAGGCTTATAGGCAGAAACAGATGCAAAAGCGTAAGGAATTGGAAGATGAGATTAAAATAAAAGAAAAAGCATTAATTTTGACTCCTTTGGATAAGAATGTAAAGGCTTCTATAAATTTGCTTAAAACACAGTTTAATATGTTAATGGCTGATCAGGTTGTAACTAATCTACTTTATATGAAACATAATACATATTGTAATGCAAATAAGCCAGGAAGTGGTTGGCTTATCAATTAAGGAAGAAACAGAAGTTGAGAATTATAGATAAAATAAATTATAATGGAAAAGTGGTTTTTCAGAAAGAATTGATTAAAAAATCTTTTTTAGATTTTTATACAAAATTATATATGGGTAAGAAGGTACAGAGTTCAGATATAGATAAATATTTACAAGATGTTCACTTTCCTAAGTTATCAAATGATCAAAGAGATGAGATTAATGGATTTATTACTTCACAGGAAATTATTATGGCAATTAAACAATTAAAAGCTGGCAAAGCACCTGGTACCGATGGATTGACATCAATTTATTATAAGACTTTAAGTGATGAGATGATAGAGCCCTTAAAGGAACTTTTTAATAATATATTATTGGGTTTAGAGACTCCCCCATCTTGGGGAAGGGCTTTTATATCTCTGATTTCAAAAGAGGATCAAGATCTTACCTTACCAAAAAATTACAGACCCATATCTCTTTTGAATGTAGATTATAATTTTTTTTCAAAAATCTTAGCCAATAGACTTATGACTGTATTGAATCAAGTGATACATACTGATCAAACAGGTTTTATAACTGGGAGATATATGAAGAACAATGTTAGACAAATTATTAATTTAATAGAATATTTGGATAAAAACAATCAGATTTCTGCAAGATTGATTTTCTTAGATGCTGAGAAAGCCTTTGACCAGTTAAATTGGCAATTTATGTTAAGGTTGGTTGAAGAGATGAATTTTGGAGATAAAATTTTGCAAGCTCTTTGAGGTATTTACCAAAGACAATCGGCACAACTTATAATTAATGGAGGTTTATCTGAGGTTTTTCAAATTGGAAAGGGTACAAGACAGGGTTGTCCACTGTCTCCTTTGTTGTTTGTTTTAACGTTGGAAATTTTGTTGATTAAAATTCGTGAATCATCTAAAATAAAGGGAATAATGATTGATAAGAATGATTATAAATTAAGAGCTTTTGCAGATGATTTGGTTGTTACTTTGTCTCAACCAACTTATTCTGTATTGGAGTTGTTACAGTTGATAAATCAATTTGGACAAGTTTCCGGTTTTAAAGTCAATAATAATAAAACTAAAATACTACCTAAAAATATGACTAATTTGGATAAGGAGACGTTGGTTAAATTGACGGGCTTTGAAGTTGTAAAAAAGGTCAAATATTTGGGGGTTTATATAACTGCTTCTAATGTAAAATTGTATAAAAATAATTATGAAATGTTATGGTCTAAAATACAGAAGGATTTGAATGATTGGAAAAAATTGCAACTATCTTTGTTAGGGAGAATTGCTGCAGTTAAAATGGATGTTTTGCCAAAATTCCTTTTTTTGTTTCAAATGATACCTATTCTAAAGAAAGAGGCAAATTTAGAAGAATGGCAGAAGGGTATCAATAAATTCATTTGGGCGGGGGAAAAACCAAGAGTAAAGCTTAAAATTATACAAGATGTTCGAGAAAGAGGTGGACTCAAGGTGCCGAATCTGAAATTGTATTATGATGCGGTGGTTTTAACATTGATTAGTGACAGGATTAATTTAACAAATTTAAATATACTTTTTTTGGAGGGATGGGATTTATTATATGGATGGCATGCGTATTTAATTTATAATAAAAAGGTGGATACAGTTTTTAAGTCCCATATCTTAAGAATTTCTTTATTGCGTGTTTGGAAGGAATATTATAGATCAGATTCTAGAATACCGTTGTGGGGAATTCCAGAGCACGCAATAGAAGGGATAAGGAAAGGAGTGAAAATGGATAGTATTTCTTATAAACAATTGCTTAATTGGGATGGGAATAATTGGCAATTAAAATCTATGGACGAATTAGCGCAAGAAAATATTAATTATTCTTGGTTCCAGTGTAGGCAATTATTAGAAAGGTGGAGAATAGATCAAAAAGCGGGTTTTATTAGGGAGGATGTGAATTTGATGAAACAAATTAAAGATCAAAGTCGAACTCATATAAAAAGAGTTTATAGTGTTTTAGTGGAACTGGATTCAGAAACAGAATTAGTTAAAGATTGTATGGTTAAATGAGCCCAAAATTTTGATGAGCCGATTTTATTAGATACATGGGAGATAATCTGGGTGAGGAATGTCAAATTTACTCAGGCTCAAAATTTACAAGAAAATTTTTATAAAATGTTTTACAGGTGGCACCTTGATCCACAAAAGATGTCTCGTATGTATCCAAATGTGCAGCCTAAATGTTGGAGATGTGGTTGTTTGGATGCAACGTACTGTCATATTTGGTGGTCATGTAGAAATATAAAGGCTTTTTGGATTAAGATTTGGTAGAACATTCAGAAGATTTTTAATAGAAGGATAAAATTTATACCACAATTGTTTTTGTTAGGTATTATTTTTGATTGTGATGATAAAGAAATTATTTTAATGCTGAATTTAATTACAGCGGCAAGGTTGCTGATTGGGCAATATTGGAAGAAGGACTCTTTGCCTACTTTAGAAGAATGGTTTCTTAAAGTTTCCTATTTATCTGAAATGGCAAAAATTTCGGCTTATCTGAAAGACCAATCGCAAGAGAAATATATTTTGGTGTGGAAAAGATGGGTGAATTTTATACAGAATAAATATGAGATTAGAAAGTATTATTTAGCTTTTGAATAACCTATATTTAAGGGTAATGGTTAGAATCTCTGTTTTTATGTACTGGAGTTAAAGTATTTAAAATTTTGTTTTTTGGATGTATGTATAATTGCTTGATGTTCATTTAAGCTGTATGTTTTTTGTTGTTTTTAACCCTGTATTCAGCTCTGGGAAGGAGGGGGGAGGGTGAGGGGGGGAGGGGGGGAGTATTTTATTGTAAAACTTTGAAAATTTTCAAAAAAAAAAAAAGGTTGGATCAGTAAATGGGGATCAATGGCTATTAGGCTCCAAAGCTGTGGGGTTGCCTCTGAAGGCATTCTGCTGAGAGACTCTTGGGCATCTTTCTGCAGGTGGTCGGCTGCTGTGGGAAAAGGCTGCTGGCCGATCCAACAGGACACTGCTTGTGCTCTTACGTACACAAGTGTATTTGATCAAGTAAGCTTGAAATTGTTTCAAGTAAGGCTATTGTGTTTGGACTAAAAATATCTGGATGACCACAAAACTGCAGCAAAGATTTTCAGAGAATTCTAAGCTTGTCTTGCCATCTTAATAGTTTACAGCCCAGATATGCTAACTCCTAATTTGCAGTTGAACTGATTCTTCAACCCATTGCTGTTCCCTTGTTAGTTCTGCTCTCGTAGGAAAGCCCACAGACATGCTTCTGGTTTGCAGGGTTTGTCAACAGTTAGTCCTTATTTTGGATCAGCTAATAAATTCTTTTACGTAGTAAATACATAATTACATGCTGATTAGGCAACTATGAATTACAGCAAAGGCTCATCCGGTTTTGTATCCTGTTTCAAAGGTCAGACATCTGTCTGACGTTCCTAGACACTCACAAGCTCGGCTCAAAGGCCACTGACCTATGTTCCCATTTGCCCACCAACAGATTCTCAGTGTGCAGGTTCATTTGGCTATTATAGAAAATTGCTATTGATTGGTCTGCTATCGTCTTCTCTCACTTTTTGAGCTATCAATGCTAGTAGACATTGTGGCAGTGAATCTTTAGCTAATAACTATAGGGAAAAATAAGGTTCTTCTGCCTGTCCTATTTGTAGTACCCATAACATTATTTGAATATAATCTGCATGAGGTCTGCTCTAAACATTGTGAAAGAGGGACTGAATATTTAACCTATATCAGACATGTATCACTCGCTCTTTATCCGTTTTTTTTCATTCTTTCACTCGCCCCTTTTCATTACTCTTTTTCTGCTCTTTAAAATCCATAAGGATTCTGTTGCTGTGTTGTGGAGGAAATTGATGATGGCTAGTTGAGTTAGAAGGAACTGGTTTGGGAAGTGAGCAAAGACACAGGGCTTAGCACAACTGCCAGGAAACACACACCCTTGTAAATATTGTCTGTAGACAGCCTGGAGGAACTCATTCCATTTCCTACCCTGGTTGTGTGATTCCAGCCCCTCCCATCTGCTTCCAGTACAGCAAAGGGAGTACAAGGCTGAGATATACTGAAATTCAGAAAATTGTGAATGTTTTTAGGAAGACACAAATTGAAAGCAAATTTATGGAAATTTGAAATTCATAACATTTTGATCAGTGTCTTCTATTTCTGATATTAATAGCCTAGCCAGTAAATCAGAAACTGGGTATACTTAGTAGCCATACCAGAAAGTTGGAAGGGACCATTTTAGCCAAAATTTAAACTGTAGACTCAGTGCAATAATAGTGGAATTGGATGTTTCTGTTAACTGCGCTGACCTTTTTAGTAGTTACTGTTCTAAAGTGGTTGGCTCTCTTATGTCATTTTTCTCATCTTTTCCTTTGCAGGCATTCTATATTTCCAGCATGTTTCACTGCAAGCAGCAGCCTCATCCTGTACCGTCAAGCATCTTGGACAGTCCCAGCTCAGACCATCAGACGGATTGCTAGGAAAGACTCAAAGATAGGCAGAGACTACTTCTGTTTTGTTAGCTGCAGGACCTCAAACAACTGAACCATTAGCTGGGCATTCACTGCTGTACAAACTGCATTGGCACAGTGGCATGGTCACAGCCAGCTTGGGGCTCCTTGGAAGCATTTGATCACTGTTGTATCAATAGCCACCACTACATCAATTGCTAGCAGCACCAGGAGAAACAGCAAGTGGTGTGCTGAAGATCTCCCCTTCCTCTGAGTGTTAGGTAGGGCAGCCTGGTTTTCATTGAGATGGGAAAACATTAGACCACACATCTTCTTGAGCCTCTCTCCTGTTGAAAAACACCAATGTCCATGTCCTGTTGGGCTTTCCTTTAGAACACAAAATCCACTTTTTAAAAACCAGTATTATTTAGGAAGACGCACCCTTCCTCTTCACTGATATTGAGATGATCTCATCCCTGAAGTATTATTATGCAGTCAGATGATGATGCTTGGAGAAGGATAACAACTGTGGAATATTTAACACTTGCGGTTTTATTTCTACTGCATTGAAAGGCAATTGAAAGTATAGGTGGGAAGAAAGTACCTAACCTAACTAGGCATCTTCCAATTATGTTGGGATAACATCTGCCAGCTATGCAGCCAAATCTAAAAAAATTCAAGGTGTTACAGGCCTAACCTATCTTATGGGTGCTAGATTGCAGAAAACTGGTATAGAAAAAGTTACAAAAGACTTGATGAGACCTTTCTGTCTTCTGAACCTGATCTCTTCCACCCCTTATAATGTGAAAGATGTTTTTGTAATAAATGGTACTGACAATCACATAATTTAATGGTTGCAACTGGATAAAAGTTAGTTTGTAAACCTGAAGTAACCTTTTCTGAACTTCAGAGTATTCCTTTCAGCCAAGTGTGTGGAGTGCTAAAAATGAGCCAATCTCTTTTTGTTTAGTATTGATATATGTAGGATTTTGGTATCTGACACAGGATACATTCCTAACATATTTAGCTTTCATTGAAGATACCTTTATGCTTCTAAGGATATGTAATCTCTTTCCAGCTATGATTCTCTCTAATCACACTTTTCACTGAAAACAGCTGCAGTGCTGGCCAAAGAACTCGGGACTCAGAAGAGATTATGTATGAACAGAATCTTATTAGTTATTAGCAATTTCAGTGAAGCAAGCAGGAAAGATAGAAGAGAGAAGCATTTACAGATTCAGGGAATCTTTACACAAGGACTCACAAATTTAAGATCCAAATTTAGAAAAGTAGAAAGAAAGGATGGGTATTCACAACATTATCGAGCAATGATTGAGTATGTTCACTAATTGTTAGTAGACAGGTGGATGGCAGAGAAACCAAAAAAAACAATTGATAGAATTGAAAGACTTATCTGGTTCCATAACACTTCAACATTTTGTTGGTGTTAGCTATTTTGCTTAAGAGTAAGCAAAAAAGGGGGGACAATGTTTATATCCATTAAATTATTCTGGGTGGGTGCCTGTAGTTTGCTTTTGAACTCCACTTAAAACTGGGAGATTGTTACAACATACTGAAGTATGTTTACAAATACTTCTTTAGTTGCACTGTTAAACCTACTTGAAAGTAAAGATTACTTTTAGATGCAATGAATGCAGTCCAGGTATGACTGATTTGCTTCTGCTCATATGCATCATGAAAGGGAAATTGCATCACCAAACACTCAAAAGAATCCAGAGATTTCTTTAACAGCTGGCCTATTTATCTTTTGTGAATCCCTTTCTGGGAATCTCTGAAGCCACCAATTTTTGAACTCGGAGCCCTGAAGAGGGGAAGTGCACAGAAACTATGTTTTTTCATTAAAACAAATACCCCCAAATGACCTTGAAAAATCTTGGATCCCCAATATTTATCCTACCAAATCCCACCACAGTTGCTGCTTGTCTGCTTCTGTTTTTCAGAAAATAAACCCTAACCACCTACATACGTCTAATCAAAAATAAGCACCGATTCCAGTGGATTACTCAGAAAGGTCCTGTACGAGATTACCTTAAGCATGACTCCAGGCAGGCAAAATATTGGAACCATAAATTGTGGAGGGGAGCAGAGACTAGTTCAACCATTTTCTTTAGTGATTGTTCAAAGTTATGATGGCACTGAAAAAAGTGACTTGTGACTGTCTTCACACGTGGCAAGTGTCAGAGTGGTAATGTGATCACAATCCAGGTTCTTGACAACTAGTTCATATTTACAAAGGTTACAGCCTCCTAGGATCACATAATCGCCATTTGTGACTGTCCAAGCCAGCTTCCAGAAAGCAAGCTCAATAGAGAAGCAAGCAGGGAAGATCACAAACAGCTTTGCTTAATGATCACAGCAAAAAAAATATAATCAGGTGCAATTATGTGATGTCTTGCTTAATGATTGAATCGCTTAACAATTTTTCCATTTGTGGTCATAAGTTGAAGACTCCCTGTAATTTTTTTCTATGCAACCCTTTACCCGGAGGATAAAGGCTGAACACTGGACAAATGCATATTGATAAGGACTGTTCTTTGTTTACATGAAAGGGAGAGCTAGGAGAAGCTACTATGGAACTGCTGAATGATAGGACCTTGAATTAGCCTTGTGTTTCTGTGTACTTAGCTTAATTATTAATCAAGCCCTGAGTGAAAGCAAAGTCTGGAAGGAAGGTGGATTTAACAAGCAGCGATTCAAATGGAAGATGAAGAAAATACTAAATTGAATCATAGTTTGTGATGGGGAGCTATTAAAACAAATGCAGTCCAGCTGAGGGCAACTGGGCCCTGATTGCATGTCTGTTTCTTACTTAATAATCCAGCACAAAGGAAAAGGAGTGTCCAGTCACTGAGAGATTGTGGCCTATATCATTTGGACTGCAGATTGTGCTGTCCGAGTTGGAGACCACAGACTGTTGGGGAAAAAAATTTGGTGGTACGTGTAGTCAACATGTCACAAGATGCACTGCTATGGAACTTTGGGAAAAAAATGAAGTTAACAGTTCTTGTTTTTTCACTGATGTGTTTATTTTTTTATCATAGACTTTCTCATGCTTATCTTCTGGACAAAAATTGAATGAGAAACATTCTGAGATGAAAGTTTCAGCTTGGACATAAGCTATTTACTCCAAAATGTTTTCAAGCCTCAGAGCTTGATTTAAAATGATCTTATCCTAACCTAAAGGTAATTGGCTAGATGGGAAGTGATGTTTCTACCCTGAGATTTGAGAAGCTTTGTCGTTCCTGATCTATGGGCTTCTGAGCTTGAGAAGTAGCTGAATGAAACCAATGCCAGTTGTAAGACATAACAAATCCAGTGTCCAGAGGAGAAGGTGCTATGCTGGAAAAAGCTAACATGATAGGAAAGGCAGACTCAGGTTGGTTTTGGAGCTGATTTTATTGTGGTTTAGAAGAACAAATTCCCCAGATATCCTTGGAGAAGCCAGCCAGCATGGGGAATTCTGGGAGTTGAAGGCCACAGGGCTTAAAGTTGCCAAGGTTGGACACCCATGGTCTAGAATATTTTCACTGAGTGAAAACAGATCAGTTCAAAAATACAATTTCATATTGTTTTGGCTGGCAACTATAGAAACATACAGACCACTACAGTGGCAAAGATAGACACAATTACTTATAATTTACAGCACACCTGCTCATTACTTGGATGAGAATGAAATGAGGCTAATTATTCTCTGCCTGAAGCCAAAGTATGGTTAGAAATCCTTTGTAGCATACTGGGTTTTAGCAGCAATTGTACCTGGGTTTTTTTCCCACTGTGGCAGGATATTTAAATTTGTAGGGTAAGTTACCGTATATGCCGGCGTATTAGGCAACATGGCATATAAGACGACCCCCGTCTTTATAGCCGGGCCGCATTCCTAGAACGTCATCTTATACACCGGAAACTACCAGTATTTCCGGCGTATAAGATGACTCGGCGTATAAGACGACCCCCGTCTTTGGCGCCGATTTCAGCGCTCACGGAAGTCGTCTTATACGCCGGCATTTACGGTAATTATTTGGGGGGAGTTTTAATAAAAGATTATTACAATATTATGAGCTTCCTTGGGAAGGCAGAGCACAGATATGGGGATGCCTTTTTAAAGAATAATTTATTAACTTTTTTTACAGAACATACACATAAAAACTAAATCAGAAAGAAAGATGGAGAGATGCAAAAAGGTATATATACATATACATGTATACAGAAAACAAAAATATATACAAAGAACGTAATTCCTTTTTTGAAGATATAAGAAGTTCTTCCTACTGACTTCTGACTATCCTTGTCCATATGAAACTGCAACAAACATTTTCTTTTCAATTTGTCTGGTTCTACAGAACATATGGGCTACCCATGTTTCTACTGATGTGATGTTTTGCCTCATCCTGTCTCGGAGCCATCTTTGCCTGTCTCCTCTTTCCACAGGGTTTCAGTATCCTGTTTCCAAAGCTTGTCTCAGTTTTTCACATATCCCTTCTCTCCTAATCTAACCAACCCAACAATATGCAACCCTGATCAGTGAATGGGGAAGCCACCCTGTTGCACAATAGCGGACTTGCTGTCCTTTCGCCACAGATCATTAGCCAGAACCATAACAACAGGAGCTTTAAAAAACAACAAACGGATGGCAGCAAGTCAGTCAGGAATCTTTTAGAAGCAGTCACTGGTTTTGTTCACTTTTTTTTTTTTTACTGTAACTGACCTTCCCTCAGATAACTTGCCACCACAAAAGGTTCTCAGCTTTCTTTCAAACCTCAGGAAAATGCATGTGAGCAGTTTGTTTCCTTTTTATGAGACTGGGATGAGGATTTTTGTTACTCTGTGTGGCTTGGGGGGGAATCAGCTTGAAAAGTGATTCTTGCTGATGATTTATCAGCTCTTCTAGAGTCATAAAATCTCCCTCTCCCTCTCTCTCCCCCAAGATAGAGCTAGCTATCTAGCTAGCTGATAGACAGATAGAAATGATAACAGATTGGTTCAGAATGAAATGTTATACATTCTTGTGTTTCCATTCTTCCACCCTTCCCCAACCAAATGTCTTACAAATATGTTGAACCAAGTCAATAACCCTTTAGCCAGTCTGCTGGATGATTAAGAGAGTAGTCCAACATATGGAAGATATCAGACTCAGGAATCTTAATCTTTGCCTCTGCAATATACAAGTGTGGAAAACAACAATCAGCTGTTGTTTTCCACACTTGTATAATTTGGGCAAAGTGCCATTTCCATGACCTCTGTATATAACAGCCATTCAGATAATACCCACAGCAAGTCCTGGCAGAGCCTGAGCCAGCCCGTACTTCCCTCACAAGGGAATTGGATAGCATAACCAAGATGCCTTCCTTTGGCAGACCAACTCTCCCTCAACCCCCATTTGCCATTCTTCATCGCAATCTTCTTTTCTGAGAGAACTTTGGACTCCATTTAAGATCATGCTGAATGGTTCCTTTATCTATAGACTGAGGCTGTTGGGGGAGGGAGAGGCATGGGATCTCTGAGGCCAAAATGGGAGTGGAAATAGACCCAAGCTGGCACTGCCAAGTCCATCTGAGCTTTGAGCCTAGCTACTGTTTCACTATAGGGACAAACACTGCTGTTTGCTTTTGTTATAGTCGTTTACATAGGCTTTTTCATGGGCAAAGCACAGAGCCCAGCCAAGAAGCATCAGAAAGAACAGAGCTGCAGGGATTTGAAAAAAGGTTTTCCTATCAATGCTACTTCTTTTACCTTAAGTTAACAGTTATTAACTTTTTGTTTTTTGTCCTCTTGAAAAACCTAAGAAATCTCTGGAATCCTGGGTAGCAGCAAGGAAGAGTTCTGTTGGACTCCTTGCCTCTTTCATATAATATCTTTCCCAGTTTCTAAAATAAGGGACACAAGGTCTTGCCCTCTCCAGTTCATTTCCATTCGAAGAAAAGCAGATTTTCTCCCCCCCCCCCAAAAAAAGAACCCACTCAGTGCCTTGGTAATGCAAGTTTTTGGTGTCGCCTCAACTAGTCTCAGAGTCAACCTATCTGTCTAATGCAGTTGCAATACTATAAACTGAAACTGAGCCTGAAATGGAGATTATAAGGGGGAAAAAGAATTGGCTATAAAATCCGGAAGCTGCCTCAGGAAGCAAACTGGGAGTAGATTCAGGATGAGCACTGAAGCACACAATAGATGACGTGGAAGAGGAAATCTATAACGGATGAACGATGTAATAGCTTCAACTTTTGTTCTTGGAATTGGCAACACAAAAAGCAACTTGTCAGGAATTGCAGAAAAGCCGTTGAGAATTACAATTCTCAGACGTGGTGGAACAGCCTGTAAATCCTGGCTGGCATAGCTCTAATTTTTGGTTTTTCTGCCGAAAATGAGTGGGGCCTGCTGTCTAAAGGGCAACAGAGATCCTCTGTATAGTCTGTTGATGGCTACTGAGAGTCAATGGCAGGAAAGAAGCCAATGCCTTCAGATGTAGGGCCTTTACTGTCCAGGGAGTTGACATGCCC